CGACTTTCAACAACCACCGACAACATCCACAATTTTCATCGACAAATATCATCGTTATTTGCGTATCTCCTGTAAATCCAACGATTTGCCGAATATCCTCCTACCCCGACCTATCCATTCAAGCTCAGAAATCTCTCTTACTCGTCCATTCATATGGAATTAACAAATCCGCAAGCTGTGCTATCGATTCATCCGTTGGGTCCGCATCTCGAACGTCGGCCATCCGACACGCAGGAACTTCCTGTGGACGCGTTCGACCGTAATATCAGCGACATGATAATTTCTGCCGCCTCCTCGGAGGAGCTGCCCCAGATGACTAGACGAAAGAACGAAACGACCGGCCAAACGAAGGAAAAGGAACACACTCATCGAGATTCAAGTGGTCTCGTCGCAGCTCGAGTATCACGACGCCTCGATCGATATTCCCTCGACGGCGTACGCCAACCGCAAATTTCTAATGTACGATCACTGTGTAAGTGGAAAGATAAGAAGTGGAAGGAATGCTGGCCAAATTGATCATGGCGTGAGTAATCAATTTTTTTTTTTTTACACGATTGCGAGGCGGATGGGGTATACGAATTTTTTACATTAGTCGAAACTGTTATATCGGTAGGATCAGTGTATGAGCGGAAAAGCGAGAAATTTGATAACCGATAGTCTGATCGATCATAGCGTAATAGGTCTGTCTATTTTCTTTCGTACAACCGCGAAGACAGGCTACAGCAATTTGTTTTTAACGGCAGCAACTGTAATGTAAATACGATGACGGTTTTTCTCGACTATTCTTCGCAAAAGTATCTTAAAAATATCAATTTTCTGTGGTGAAAAGTTTGTAAACTAATATCTTCCAACAATTGTATCGCTTTAAAGAAACGCTTCTTCTCCGATGGAAAATTTTAAGAGGATAAGATTCTGATATTTTTCTGTGGAATTTCAAAGACTTCGATGTGACCAGGATATTCTAGCGTGTAAAGGCTAGCCTGAGCGTACCACTGTAGTTGACAGAGCCTCATTTCTCTTTCTGATTCACCCCTTGCTTCGCTGTTTCGACGATTGATGGATGATTTTCGAACAGGTCAAGCTAAAGCGCATCATTCGATGGCTAAAAATCGATCGCTGATCATGACAGCTCGAAATTCAGCCGAGCAAAGAGAAACTATCCCGCCGATTGTTTCCCCTGTCAAGGAAAACTATCTGAAAATCGAGAGGGAAACGGTTTTCCTGTACTTTTTGTTCCCTGCTGTCGGAAAAGGCGATCAAACACATGTGGCAGGAAAAATCAACGTGAAAACGCATTGAAAAATTTCCTCGATTGCAAAATATTCAGCGCAGTGGTATTTACCGAAGCTCAAGATTGATCGATTATAATTTTAATGCAAAAACCATTACATTCTATTATTTTTTCCTACTACTCCATTTAATTTATTTCCAATTGAAAAATCGTAAGTTTGTTTCAGGATTTCTAAATTTATTTCAGAATTTTGATCGATCGTAATTTCAACAGCGATGGTGTTTTACAATTATAACGCTACGTCTACGTATTTTATTCCATGTTGCGTTTTATACGAAAGATTTCACATATATCGTTCCATCTTTTACTTCGTTTTCCTACGATTTTTATACCTTTTGTACTTTTTACTTGCTTTAGATATTTTTTACACAGTACACAAAGTCGAATAATAAATAACGATGGATGAGTGAACACGCTTCAAATGGAAATTTTTACCACGAGCATAAGTGACTTTCACGATGGTAGTCCCTCGATGTTGATCATTTTTCCGCGATCGGTTAAGGGTAGTGTCCCGTGATCGAGAGTTTGATATAAGCTAATGACGCGCTTGACGAACGATCATCCATCTCGTTTTAATCGATATCGTTCATGGAGACAGCGACGAGCAACGACGCTATTGCATTAACACATTAAAATGTCAACCTGTCGATAAGATGGAGCGTATAAACTTTTGATCAATCTAAGAGACACGTTCAACGAACGACGCCGATGAATTGAATCCTGTTAAAGTAATAATATATAACGTTTTATTAAACACAAAATTTATATGTAACAGAGTAACTTGAAGTATTAACGTACACCGCCCTATTCTCTTATACGTCTCAAACAACAACGAATTTGTTTTATTGCACATTCATTCATTCAACGCATACGCGATGCGCTCGTCTCGTGATGTTTTCCTTTTGTCTTCCTCTCTTTCATTCACCGCTCGTGCAATACAGACGTACACACATTTCTTTTCTAACAAAAGCAACTATTAAAAAATTCTCGAGAAATAGCTAACATGCTTTAACATCTTTTTAATATCATGCACTCGGAAAATGGAGGACTTATGGCGTAGGAGATGAAAACGACTAGTATTCGAAATTTGATGAACAAACTAGCTGTTGATCCATCTTCGATCGATCTGAGTAGGTTCGATATACAAAAATTTCAAAAATAATTCGTAAAACTAAAATTCTTGATCAGATAATTTCGTATCATAATAATACAGCACAATATAAAAATCCTATTGAAGTGGATATAATTAAAAATATTCGATAAACGAAAATGTTGAAAACAACGTGCATGAGCTAAAATATTAGAATATGGTGCGATGTAATACGTATAATATAAGCACCTGTAATATATCATTACAATATAAAAATCTAATTTGAATGTTGAAGAATATTCAACAGACAGACGTCGCAAAAGTAATCGACAAAAGTGAATTTAATAATACCACGGCAAAAACGTAATACAGCTTTCTTAATTATAATTTCTCAGCGCAATAACCACCTGCAATCAAGGTAATTAGTACACGATAGCGATCACAATCCAACAAACGAAATCGGTTCACGCGCTCGCTTTATCTAACCCACCGTAAAAATTCAGCCTCCACCATCACCGTACCGCAAACCATCCCACCAATTCTTCCAACCCCGTGATACACACGCGCGTCATTCCTAAGAGGAACGGTCGACGCTACGTTCGTTTCGTCGAATCGCATCCCTCGATCGCTACCCCTGCATCGCATCGCGTTCCAATTAGCGCGCTCGAATCGCGCCACCAGCGCGAAAGCGAAGCGGAGACTGCACGCGCACCCGGTAGGCAGAAAAACACGGCGTGTCCCTAGACGAAACAACAATGGTCCGTTGATTTTGCATTCGCTGCGGAGAGGGTTTGCCCCTCGTACCCCATCGTACGTCTGCGCCCTTTCCACTAAACTAAACTCTCCCCCTCCGTCATCGGTCCCTCCACGGTTTTCTTCTCTATTTCTACGTTCATTGTGATCGTGGCCGGTGATTCCTAGCGTCGATGTTTTGACGTAATCCCATAAAGCGCGTTATTCTTGTGTAAATAGCCGTTCGGCCGCTGAGGGTTGGTAACCGATACGCGGTCCATAGATAGGGGTGCGTCCGGTCAGTTAATTGCCAAAACGTTGCCACGCACCGACACCGGTGGGAACGAGTTCTGTATCTGGCTGCATGGGATCCCGTTCTTCTACGTTCACGCGACGTTTCCATTCTGTTTATGGGATTCGTGGAAATTGTACGATATTGTAGACTTTCGTTTTTCCTTTTTGTTTAATCTTTTCTTTTTTCTCCCTCCTTCTTTTTTTTTTAGTTTGGACTTTCGCGTGGATGTGCGAGTGAAGGTTGAAGGTTTGAGTATCGGTATAACGTTGAGAGCGGTGGAATTGCGCGTTGATTTTGGTATCGATGGAATTTGTATGTTTAGATGGTGAAGATGTGAGATGTTCGAGATGCAGGAACTTCCATTTGCAGGGGGTTCTGGGAATCGAGCGGAGAAATATTCGGAACGGTATAAAATTTGTCGGAATTCCATGTATTTAATCTTTTGCGTTTTGTACTTTTTAATGGATTAATGGTTAGCGAAAGTTTTTAAATATCGGTGACTAATTAATCGTTGAAATTCTTTGCGCTAGAGAAAGGTTCCGATCGCTTTGAGGAGTGCGATTACATTTAGAAATGCCGAAAACTCTCCGAGATCTTGAAATCATCTGCTGGCCTTGAATTAGAAAAGCCAAGAACCCGAGAGTTGCGAAAGTTCTTGAGCATTGCAATCGCTTAAAATCCTCGAATAGTTCGTTAACTGTCCCAATGAATTTAAAAGGCCTCCAACTTTCCTCCAGAGCCTTGAAAATTTTCGTGTAACCGTGGAACGTTAGAATGTCCGAAGAACTTGAACAAAAACCATCAAACCAGATATTTCAAATCTACGTTTCGAACTACCCCTAACGTCTCGCTATTTAATCCTTCTAATTAAATTGAAAACTCAATTTTCAAACCCTGCTTCGACGCGTGTCACGCAAATTTCTTAGTCTGTAACATTTCCTTCAAAATAAAATTCCCACGCCATTTCTCGCCTCCATTCGTCCCTGAAATCATCTAAATACTATTTCAACGCATGGTTTATGCAGTGTATTTTATAATAATCCCTCGAACGATGTAACCAGCCTACATAATATATGGTGAGAAAGGCTTAACGAATCCGTGGAATGGCTCATGGAGGATCGTCGATGCTTTATGTGTTTGTTTGATTCGATGGAGGGGTGGGGGCAGATTTTCGGAGGCTGGATGGGTTGCTTAATCCCCGTTTCGATGAAATCGAGGGCTGGCGGGGGTCTATTGTAAATAAATTATCGGGATTGAACGAGTCGTCCGAGAGATTTCGTGACTGGGATCGATGTCCCGCACTTTCTTCTCCCCCTTCTCAATGGCGAAACTATAGTCGAGGGTTTGTGGGGTTTTGTATCGTCTCCTGGGGGTGGATTCTCTGGTAACTGTGAAACCGGTACTTGTTTGACTTGTACGCGATTCATTAAATATATTGGCAAAAATTCAAAACATTTCACCTTTTAATTTTTTAATCCTTATTTTTCAAACCTTATCATCTGTTATGGTTATTTCACTATGTACATATTTAAAACGTTTAACTCTGTACTGCATTCTATCAGGTTGTCGGAAAAGTTTCTTTCGTTTCATAAGGTGATAATAGACGAACAACAATTTTTGTTTTATATTATTTTATCGAATCAGGTATTGTCCATTTCGTTATATTTTTATTATTACGTTCGTGCATAATTCAATGAACTAATATAAAACAAAAAACATGGTGCGTCTACTATTTCTTTACAAAACGAAAGCATCTTTTCGGACAACCTAAACTCGATATAAGAATATCGAAACGTACGATACGTTTCGTTCGATCGTGAGGAATATTTAGCAAGGGAAGATTTTATCTCACAGTAGATGCATAATTTTCAGAAGGCTGTAATATGGTGCTTTGGATATTACAGTAATCCGATAGGACACGATGTAACGTATCACGTTTAAAGATAAGGGGTTGAAGATAAGAAGTAGAAGATAAGGTTAGATAAGAAGTTGAAGATCGTATTATAAGTTTTTTATACTTAATACCGCTTATCTTTCGAAAAAAAACTTCGTAATTATTCCAATACGGTGACGCGAAATTATTCATCGACCTAAAGCGATTCTTTTAACAAAAATGCAAACCACATCGCCATTTTTTTTTCTTTTTCCTTTGCTTTTCTGCGGCTCGTCCTGAATTCTTATTGACGTTTTTGGTGCATTCAGATATATTCTATTCTCTCATTCGAACTTTTATTCATTGTTCCGCTCGAGAATCGTTTCGATTTCAAGCGGGAAACAATTGCGCATTAATCGACGTCTCTGCAAATTTTTGCCCCTTTTTTAAAAAGAAACGAGCATGCATTCACTAGACAGCTGTGTAATGATGAATATAATATTCTTAAACTCTATTGTACGTATTGTTATAACGATATTACAAGATTTTAAATGCCGTGGATACAGTTTTATTTACTAAGAATTTGTCGTGCTGAATGGTCCGCGCAATAACTTTTTTGTCAAAAAGCTTCATTCGTATGTTTCTATTGAAGAAATTTATCATTGTTAGAAACTGGTGACCAAAGAATCTGATAGCTGTTGATAGAAGAAAATTCCTCTACATTTTTTATTCACCCCTTTTTTAAGATATTACAATCATATCAAAGAAGCACCTTTTATCTTGCAAAAAGTTGCCTAAAGTATTAAATAATTTTCAGCATAAATACGAGAAACGTACAACACAAATTTCGCACGATTTTGTTCCCTTTTGTTCCCTTTAAAACGCTTCAAACATAGTTGTCGTCCGTAACGACGACGAACTGCAAAAATGTCTGGAGTAATAGTTTGTTGCGTCTAAAGCAACGAATTTCAAAACTCTCAAAATCTGGAGAAGAACTTGTAAATAACAATGAAAAATATGTAAATGTAAATAATTCGACTGTGGATTTTTACACATTTGCATATTGTTATAGACGTAACTAAAGAAATGCCGTCTCAATAGAAAGTTTCATCGAAATATTATAATAGACACTCTATTTCGGATATTTTATGTCCTTTTGAATACTATACGTATCGTGTGCATTTCTGCGTCTTCAAATTTCCCGCGCGTAAAAATTTTCGGTCTATAAATAACTACGAAAAAACAAACTGCACGAACGTAAAATATCGCTAAATGGAAGCTTCCATCGTTGGACGTAAAAATCATTGAAATTGACTTCCTTTGTCGATCCTCTGTCACATTCGCTACTTAATCCTTATTAGTTTGTGTACGTAAGTGTCTGAGATAGCGTTAGCGTGTTTTATCCGTCACATCGTAAGTAACGAGCGGAAAAAGGAAACAACGTTGGACCTCTTGTTTGATCTTCTGCTTACTAAATTTCCGCACCGTGACCCGTTCTCTCCGGGAATTTCGCCGGGAAGATATATCCTGTGCAACGCTGCGAAGATTTACGGAGTGCAGCAGCCTTTCTGGTTGCTACCGTTGCTCTTGTTCTTGCGGAAAGCGTTAAGTTAAAAGATTAGGCTGAATTGTGTACTATGGCGCGGGATTATCCGAGACTTTGGCTTGGCGTTTTGTAAGTAATTAGTACAAGGTTGAATTTTTTTACCAGAAATTGACTATCAAGAAGTTTCAGAATGAAATTGAGATGAATTAATGTTCTCAAAAGGAGAGGCTAATCTTTAGCCGAGTTAGAAACATTTTGAAAGTAACGTTTTATTTAACACAGGTCTTAGGTTTATTTTAATACATCGTTAGATTTGTATTAAAAGTACGTTGTATCGTAGGATTGTGTAAAGATAGTTTAATGAAAATGAAACAGACATACGTATAAAACTGTGTTTTTTGTAACAATACAGGTTAATAATAATTTCTTTTATTATTCTCTCCTTTCGTCTGTTTAATTTATCGTATTGTAATATAAGAAAGATACAATGTACAAAATAATATTCTTGTATAATGTTAAATCGTTTAACTGAATAGTAAATATTAGATATTAAATGCTACCACTATATTTAACATTCGTCTAGTAAAAACATTCCATAGCATTTAATTACAAAATTTTAATATACATGAACGATCAAAATTCAACACAGGAAGAACAGGCAGATGTTATATAATATTCAAAGAGTAGTATCATTTAACATTAAATCCTGCAGTTAAGCAGGAAACATTAAATATTAACAAATTATTAAATTATAATCAGTATCGCTGTTTTAAACATTCACACGCAACTGGCACCTAACACGAAAGAAACAGAAAGCTCTTTATAATCTCTCTGAAAGAATGATTCACTTGAAGTTTCAAATCATCTTGCACGTTTCACCAAAACTTTCTAATTTTACCACGCTCTTACCAGATTATCCATCATCAATCCTTATAACGATCACGAATCCTAGAAATATTTTTGAAACTAATTCGTCTTTCGGCAAATTTCTGTCGAAAAACCGAAGGAATCCGGGATAGAAAAATCGTGATTCGGTGCCATTTGTCCGCGGGAATCTGGTCACGAGCTACACGTTTTAACGGAAGGCGGATAAAGATAAATCGGCGGGAGCAGGTTTTATCGACTCGACAAGGCGTCTAAAACGGAAGTCTACGAGTTGCGAGAAGCCTTGCTGCTACGGGGTTTTATTCAGTTTCGTCTGGCATGGTTTGGCGCGACGCTGCTTCCTTCCGCCAAGCGAACCACCGGTGGGGATGACCACGTTGATTTATCGTCGATTTATTTCGAGCTACCGACGACAACGAAAAAGGAACGCCATCGTCGTCCCGTTAGCAAGACGCGCCTGCTCGATGTTTCTTCTAGGCGAAATCCGTGCCATCGGGTACGATACAAGCGCGTAAATCGCGTACGTCTTCGCACCAATTCTTGTCGAATTTTCAGCAACGTGACGACCAAGAGGTGTTGCATATCGTACAGCGGATACGCCGCTCTTGCGAATAAATCACCGATGACACGGCCACTTGATTTTCGTTATTTTATTGCTGATCGTATTAATCAACGTTCCGAATTGAAACGAACGAACTGATTAAATTGGCAGAGAACGAAGGATTATAAATGGCGCGATCGTTCGATAATAACTGCACTGATTATTTCATCGGATAACTCTTTTGGTCTGAAAAAAACTGTCGCGGAGAGAATTTCGTTGCCAAAGGTCCTTTCAATTTACTCTGACACGCTGATCGATGCAGATGCATCGCGCGTCGAGCACGATCGACGTCTGGACACGCGACACGCGTGTCACCATGGATATTACGTTCCATTTGAATACGTCATATTACGTCCGACCAGACGGCCACGTTACGTTCCTGTTACGGATTATTATCGAGAGAGAAATTTCGGCTGCGGAGCGACGCTGAAAATTCGCAAAATTACCATCCATTGTATAATATTAATCGATATCGTTAGTTACGTCTACTGCACGCGATTTACAATTGTTTATTTCCGACCATCGCTGTCCCATAAATCGAGAAAACATGTCCCTTCGATCTATTATTCGCCGTTGTACAAAATTCATTCATCGCAGCTCGTTTATCCGCATCTTGTAAAATCTTAAAAGGACATCTCCGGGTCGATGTACGACCTCCACTTCCGCGGATCGTGCAACGCTGAATTACGACTAGCGCTTGGTTTCTCCTGCGCCACTCGTCCAACTTCTTCACGCTTGTCGTCCGTGGAATTTACGCGAGTCCGTAAAAATGTACATAAACGATAGAGCGAGGGCTCCGGTTTTCTTTTATCGTTCGTTACGAAGGGATTCGTTCGGTTGCAGACTATTAGCGAGCGGCTTTAAGGGATGTTTGCACGGCCGCTTATCGCCACTGGATGCGAGATAGACATCTCGTACTCGAAGAAACGCACGCGAGCCAAAGCTCGTAAAAAGCGTGCCGGTAATTCGCCCGGACGTGGATAACTCAATTCAACGTTCTACTTTCACTTTGTGACAATTTAATTTTATGCCGCTGCGTGTGTGGTATTGTAAACGGTGAAATTTTCTTTCTAAACGATAGAAGGTAAAGAATTTCTTTCCGTAGGAGACGATAAGCTCTCGAGAGCTTTAAAGATACAGAAATACGAATGGAGGTCAGCAGAAATTCTGCAAATTCTATCGATACTGGTCGAAGAGCACGAAACTTTCGCCAGTGGAACGTATACAGATTGTATCTCGATCGAGCAGGTGAATCTCGAAAGCGCGTCGAGTGGAGAAGCGAAAGGACCGCGACGGGTGTCTGGCTGGAATTCAATTTGATCGTTCCATTCGTCTTTGCATCGGCGTCGGGACACCACACGCAACCCTCGTGACGGGACATCGACCCCCTGTTTCTCGATTTATCCGCCTCTTTGTGCCAAAGGGGCCGCGCCATCGACCACGCGTAAACGTTTATTAATGCGCGTAAATCAAAACGGTGCTCGATTACGACGAGCCTCCTCGAAAGTGGCGCGCGTGGAAACCAGAAGTTGCTGGACGATCGAATAACGATTTTCTCGCTCGTATATCGATTACTTGGCTGCGAGTAATCCTGCAAATTCGTATTTCTACGAACGCGACTAAATAGAAATTTCGTTTCGATGCGAGTTCAAGTATCGCAACGCAGATTTAAATATCATCGATGTTATGATATCGCAATTAGATTCAAACGTTAAACGTAACGAATTGGTACACTCGACGTTATCAAAAAATCTTTTTCGACATCTTCCACCATATTCGCGCATCGATTTTGTTCGTCGAAACAACGTACTTTCGCGTCAATACGTTCATTTGATAAACTCGTGAAAATTACGATTAACGAGCTACT